ACCCTAAACCATAACCCTACGCCCTGTACCCTAAACCCTAAGCCCTGCACCCTAAACCCAAAACCCTAAACCCTAAACCCTAAACCCTAAACCCTAAACCCTAAACCCTAAACCCTGAACCATAACCCTAAGCCCTGCACCCTAAACCCTAAACCCTAAACCCTAAACCCAAAACCCAAAACCCTAAACCTTAAGCCCTGCACCTGCGAATCTCTGATCCAGAGGCGACTCCGGGCTGGCTCGAGCCGCTGCTTTTTCGCATTGCCGAGGCGTTTCCTTTCGAAGGTTCAGGGTTTTCTAGGGTTTAGGGTTCAGGGTTTAGGGTTTAGGGTTTAAGGTTCAGGGTTCATAAGGTTTATAAGGGTATTAGGGTTTACAGGCATAGGGTTTAGGGTTTAAAAGGTTCAGGGTCTAGGGTCTAGGGTTTTAGGGTTTACAGGTTTAGGGTTTAGGGTGTTAGGGTTTATAAGGTTCATAAGGTTTAGGGTTTATCGGGTCTTAGGGTTCACAGGTTTAGGCTTTTGGGTGTTGGGGTTTATAAGGTTCATAAGGTTTAGGGTCTATAGGGTTTTAGGGTTTACAGGTTTAGGGTTTAGGGTGTTAGGGTTTATACGGCTCATAAGGTTTAGGGTCTAGGGTTTTAGGGTTTACAGGTTTAGGTTTTTGGGTGTACAGGTTTAGGGTTTAGGGTGTTAGGGTTTATAAGGTTCGGGGTTTGGGGTCTATAGGGGTATTAGGGTTTACAGTTTTAGGGTTTAGGGTGTTAGGGCTGTTAGGGTCTATAAGGTTCAGGGTTCAGGGCCTAGGGTTTTAGGGTTTACAGGTCTAGGGTTTAGGGTGTTAGGGTTTATAAGGTTCATAAGGTTTAGGGTCTATAGGGTTTTAGGGTTTACAGGTTTAGGTTTTAGGGTGTTAGGGTTTATGAGGTTCAGGGTTTAGGGTTTATAGGGTCTTAGGGTTCAGGGTTCAGGCTCTTGGAGGTTCGAAGCTTTACGGATTCGACTTGTTGAGGCTTTGGGGAGTTTGAGGCTTGGGGTTTCAAGCTTTGGAGCTTTGGGGGTGAGAAGGATGCGCTTTTCGCGTCCAAGCTTGGGTCTAGGGTTGCAATCTTTTTGTGTGAGGGTTTAGGTTTCATGCTTGGGGGATGAGGCTTTGGGGCTTAGTGGTTGTTGACGGTTTGAGCTCGGCGGCTTAGTGATTGGAATTTGGGTTTCGAGTACTTCGACGCAACATTACCAGAGGTCGCAGGATTTTTGAGCTTCAGGGGGAGGTTGGACAAAGGAAGGTTCAGCTGCATAGGCTCTGAGAACCTTCGAATGACAGGGCCGTAGGATAAGGTACTAGTAGCAGATGCAAGGATGCACTTGTCGAGAAGCTGAGGCATGCAAGCGGCCTGCCGGGCATGAACAACGGTGACAGCTAGCATCACACACGCTGGACGTGACGCGCTGGTTTCTGGACGATATGACACCAATAGGCAGAGAACATGCTCTAAGACTCTAAGCCTCCAAGCCATCAGCTATGGTTGCGTGTGGAAAGATGCCTGGACGATGTACACGACACGCAGAGGTGAGGGTTTCGAGTTGAGGGTTCTCGTATTTTAACGTCGGTTCTCTTGCCGATGCATCATGCGAACGCTCCCGGCGAAGACTTGCGCTTCCGTCTTGCAACCAGGTTGCCATGGATGGAATGCAATTTCCAGCCTGATGCAGGAACCAGATTAAGAAGTATTAGGGCTCTTTATAGGGATCCTGATATGTTGCGGCTATAGGACCAGGGATTCTTAATCAGGTCCGTGCATGAACCTCAACTCTGAATGCCTTCATCTTGCAATGCCCGAAAGCTCAAAGCAATGCCGGTTCTTGTCACGTAAATCGCTGCCCCTGTACAATTACGATAAACCCTTCACCACCACACCATGCGCCACCACCCTAAACCTTGAAGCCATAAACGCTAAACCCTAAACCCTAAACCCCTAAACCCTAAAACCCCCCTTGAACAAAAGCAAGCAATCACAAATCAACGTTTTTGAAGGACCGTACTCGCCTGGTGGTGCCCAGCATTGATGGCATCGACACTGAGGAGCTATGTGGGAGCTTCCGAAAATAGGGGTACCTTATTTTGGGGTCCTTATAATAAGGATCCTACTATTTAGGGTGCTATATTAGGGTCCCTATTTTCGGAAACCCCTATGTGGCTTGCGGTTGAGGGTTTAGGGCTAAAGGGGTTTTGGTGTTTCTACCCAAGCCCTAATCCTAGTCCTCCGGGTACCTACTACAGAGGGTACTAGAGCCCCTAGGCTCCTATGTAGTACGTACCTGGAGGGTTACGGGAACACTTTCAAGAACCGAAATCAAAGCCTGACAGCTGACGAGGATTTCAGCTACAGCGTCTTTGGCCTTGGCATGGTCAGCTTTAACTGGCAGCCTCTGGGGCGGCAGTCTGTTCTGGCTCCTCTTGGCATTAAAAAACCCCAAAGAGGGTTGATAAAAGCCGGAAATCTTGTGCCTCAGGGCCTTGTAGTTGAAGGCTGAGTTTAAACAGGTTCGGGTCGAGGAAGTAGGGCTTAGGGTTGCTGCAGGGAATGCAGGTGTTCATCGCAGGGATTATGAGCACGACTTATCCCAGGGCCTCCTTACAAGGTCCCAGCTTCTTCTGGGTTCTTGTTAGGGGATTCAATTTAAGTTGCCATAATGGGGATCTACAGTAAGTTGTATGGCTCCTGTGTTGTGGTAACTTACACTACATCCTTTAACAAGAACCCTGTCTTTGGGGGGGCGGGTTCCGGCTGCCAAGGAGCTTGGGGCAGAGTTTGTGTTCATGTGATGCAGGGTCTTGCAAGCTCCAGCATCTGGATTACTGGGGCACGCCATGGTCAATGTAGGGGCCTTTAAATAATTACCAATACTATTTCTTGGATTCCTGATCATAATCATACTATAAAGGACCCTAAAACCCTATTCTGATTATTAAGGCCCCGATATTACAGCTTCTTCAGAATCTATCAGCGTGGCTCGGAGGGTGCGCTACATGTCATGCGATAGTCACAGTGGGTTCGAGCAGGAACAGTCCCTCCAACCGTTATGGCTCCCAGGTTTTGCTCCAGGTGGTGGAACTTGTGGGTCAACCCTAAACCCTATACCCTTGCTGGTCACACAAACATGCGACAGCCCCCATATGTTACTCAGGAGCCCCTACACTCCTTCACCATTTACACGCAAGCTTAGACCCAATCCGCAGCCTCAACCCAAAGACACTGACACAGACGCCTGAATAATTGTTATTGATGTGCGCTTGTGACACCAACACCCTACCGTAGTTGTGATTGCTCTCTGTCTATGTGTCATTATATACTATTGATCGCGTATTTGTATGTATTATACGTGTATATGCATACATACGACCCTGTAGTGCCCTGTAAACCCCGGTTGCATCGAGCGATGGGAGCTGTGTACTGAGTTCTGCAACCTTTGGGACTTCGCAAGATTTCGCGCGGGTTTCATTCGTGTGTTCTTGGGTTGTGTAGTGGGACTTCATTTACTCTTTCTAAGAGGTCCGTACCATACAGAGCATACCATCCATAGCATCTACAGTGTCGTTTTTCGGGTAGTGTATCTTACTTAGGATGTGTGTTAGGGTACTTATGTTCTGAAACTCTGTATCTTGGACTTGAACGCCTCACGCTTCGTACACTCCCTTATTATAAGGGGGCCTAGTAAGAAGGATCCTGTCATCACTATTTTGTATTAGCTCGCTTATTATAAAAATTTTCCACTCCCGAAGATCTGAGGCTGAATCAAAAGCCTCGAGAGCGTCCGGAGGGGGAGGCGACCCCGGGGGGGGGGGGGGGGGGGG